TTATGCATGCAAAAATAAACCAAAAACAACCGAAACCTTGAAAAAAAGAAAAAAAACTTTTCGAAAACAGTGTCATAAATTGCCTTCGTACCTCCAGGCGTGCAACATGTGAATTTTACCTACGCGCATGTAAAAATGTGTTCACTAGCCAGATGCGCATATTTGTGCACTGCAAGCAGGTACTGCACCCCTCTCCTCNCTGCACCCCTCTCCTCCTATCTTACCTGAATCCCCATTGAATCCCCGTAACTAGCGGGCCGTGCTCTCAAATTTTCGTCAGCGGGCATTACCTATCAATCGGAAACCGACACACCAAGATCTGGGACCATTGGGCTTAGCCTCGAACCCGTGAAATACATCAAGACTTCAAGACTACTTCAGTCCTTAAACCTGACCAAAAAGAATGTGAAGTAAGCTTTTAAATGGCCATACCTTTTATAAATGACCTCTGTTCAAACTTATGCAATGAGACTCATGCGGAATATCGCTAGATATTCCATCTAACACCTGAAAACGGATTACAGACAGGAGCAGTATAAAAATTCATATGCGCACGAGGTACGTACCGGCCAGAGACAAAGCTAAAAAACAAATCACGCGAAAGCTTTTTAAGAAGAAAAGGAGGTATATGAGCTGCAGTCGTCTTGCATCAGGATTACTCTGATGTTTAATTTGTTTTACTATCTCTATCGAACAAAAGGCCCATCAACTTTTCTGGAGCGCCTTGTACGTTCAGGTTGTTTCGCGTTGCACGCTTTCGCGTAGTTACAACTTATACGATGGTTGAAGTAATTGAGTCAGCTGTCAATACCCGCAGATCGGTATTGCGTTCATATAAACAAAAAACCTTTGAATTTGACAATCACTTCCCGGAAGCGGCTGTTTTTTCAGAGCCTTCTGACTTCGGAGAATGTGACGTGGTTTTTGTGCTCGGTCGTGATGTTCTCCACGGTCATCAATCTTTATTCGCCTCGATAAGCAAAACACTGAAAAATTTCTTTGACATCATGAATTCTGAAGACTGCGATCCCTATGTGATGGATTCCTCTGGTTTACTGCGTTTCAGCAAAGCAGCTAAAGGATCGCGAAAGGTTTTCATTGATTCGTCACTGCAAGTTTTTGAACCGATTTTCAATTACTGTTATTCTGGTCGGTAAGTTCATTGGTGTCATTCAGAGGCACTCGAGTTTTATATAAATACATTAGAAAGTTTACATGTATATATACGCATCGAATGTAGTGAAAGTGTAAATTTTTTTAGGGATTAGCCTTCCATGGCTCCTTGAAGGCTTTTAGTGACCTTTTCATCAATAGTACGCATTGCGGATTTTCAGATATCCAGATTCTATATATGTCGCTATTAAAAGCGCAGGTTTAATGAAGTCTTTTAGTGAGCAGGTATAAAGCTTGAAATGCAGGCTCTTAACGTAGCAAAACTTCGGCTATGGATTCAACTGAACTTTTGCTTCTGCAGTGTATGGAGTCTGCGGTCGGACCTATATTTCTTTTGCTATTCAAAAATCTGCACGTGTGCAGTGAGACCTGATAAATTAAGCACGGTGATATATCGAAAGCTTGGTCCAATTCAGTCTTATGGAACTTGCGGTAGATAAACAAAGCGGTCATTACAGTTTTGAGTAAATGCATTCATGGTCGTGAACATTGAATACTTAATTGCACATTCTACAGATTTTTTCTTTATATGTTGTGGCACATCTGCCGGTCTTACGTAGCTGGTTACGTGTTAAGTTTTTGCAACCATTAACCATGCACTTTCGTGTTTCGGTTTGGGTTGCTATCTTTTGGCTGCCCATTCGGATAAAAGAGAAAGATCAAAATTGCAATCTTGAAAGCCAGTTCAAGCGGAAGATAGCAAATTTATATAGACTGAAGTTAAAAGAATAATGAGTAGGTGCATGAGCACCAGTCATAACACTCAGTGCCTCCACCGGCGACCATGATCTCTGGGCTGTGCCCATCGGTTTTAAGGATGGAGGTTCAGCCTTTGTTTTGGGGTTACTTCCTGGGCTCAGTGTGGGAGACGGAAGGGGGTTCTAACGGAATGGTAAAAATCGGTGATCATACAAGGCGACAGATCCTCTTGTGAAAACCCCAGAGGAATTAGTTTACTCAACATCGTCTCTAAAATTGTCGCTGGTATTATACTCTGTCGGTTGTCTGCCGCACGTGAAGGGTGTGCGTGTTAAAACCAGGCTTGGTCGGGGTTGTATCGACTCTGGAGCACCGACATCCCTTTCTTAGACCCACCATCTCCGTCTTTCTCAATCTGAAAGCGGCTTTCAACTCAGTCGACCGCTGTAATCTCTGGCACTGCCTTTCCCTAAAGGATGTGCCCGAGAAGTTAATTTCAATATTACAACCCTTTTTATACTCAACTGAAGTCGAGTCTGGGCTGACGGCACTTTTCTACCCGAGTTCACCACGGAAAGTAGTGTTCGACAGGGTTGCTCTCTCTCTCCGTTTCTATTTAACTTCGTGGTAGAATTAATTCTTGAAACAGTTCTATTCTCGAGCGAGGATAGCGATATATATTTGCTCCCAAGTGGCAAACTGTCTGATCTAGAGCTTGCAGACGACATTGTGCTACTAAGTAAATATCCAGGTAAGTGACAAGCTTTTCGGGGTAGCTTGAGTGCCACATTCGCTGTGTATTTTGCACCTTCAAAGTGTAAGATGCTGCTGCAACACTGTGTTGGTCCAGCATCCACCCTCACTCTAACTGGTGAAGTAATAAAGCAAGTGGATAAGCTTTTTTTATTTGGGAAACTGTATCTCACCCGATGGACGCATCACAGATAAAGTGTCTGCTCACATACAGAAGGCTCGGTTGGCATTTGCTATATTGAGACATCTATGGCGCCGCGGTTGTCTGTGAAGGGTCGGGTGTATGCCGCAGCAGTTCGGTCATTTCTGCTATACGGCACAGAGACTATCGGTGTTTGAACATCGCTGTCTACGCAGTGTAGCACGAATCCGGTGAGGCAAGCGGCCAAGGAATGTTGAGGTTAGGCGCAGTTTTCGGTAACCGCGGTCGTTCACTGGAGCAAGTAGTCGACCTCCATAGATTGCGTTGTTTGGGGCATGTGTTAAGCATGTCTTTAAACAGGTTGCCACGGAGAGCGATGTTAGCCGAGGCAGGTAGTGGGTGGAATAAATTCAAGGGTGGTCGAGCTAAGACGTGGTATGCAGGTGTGAAAACCTTAACCAGGCCTCTGGGGCACGTAGGTCCCGTTAGGCTCCCAGGCTAGGGACCTCGGAATGATCGTACCCGATGGTTAGGGACACTGATTGATGTTACTGAGTGTCATGAACAGTGGCGTTCGTGCATCTTTTCAATTTCTTTGCAACATTGGACCGCTGGAATTCTCCGTTGTCTGTTTGATTATACTTTCAACTTTCCTGTCTTTCTCCTAATGTTCACCCAAATGGGCAGCCAAAAGACAGTAACCAAAACCGGCGCAGGAAATTGCACGGTTAACGGTTGTTCAAACTGGAACTGAAACTGATATACGCTGTCCGTTTCTCTATCTGTTCCATGTGTTTACTACTCCTGAAGCCCTTGACGGTTAAAATTAATAGCTTCCACTAAACATTGTGATTAGTGTAGAATATCCCACATAATATTCACATGATTTTTGTTTGATTTTGACTTATTTTCGCCGTTTCAGGCTTTCCGTTCCATTGGATCTTGTGCCATCAGTGTATCTCCTTGCAAAACGTCTTGAAATATGTGTTCTACAAGTGGCGCTTGCAAATCACCTGTCTCAAAATGTGACGGTCGGTACAATAGGGGGTAAGCTTGGAGTATATGTTTACCTTCCCGATTCGAAATGTATAAACTGTTTTAGTCACCAAAATTGGATCACACAGACACGCGTATATATATATATATAATCCGTCAATGTACCTGGCCATCTTAGTGGATAATAGATAACTTATGTCAATCAGAACCTTTCACCAATGTTTGCTCACGTTCTTTCCCTTAGACAGTTCTAAGTGGGATAAAAACAAAGGTTGGGGTGGTATATTCTGACAATTCTAAAACGTTGGAAATGAGTTGTCGCCAGCTTAGTCCGGTATTTTCCCAACAACAGTGGAAATCTAAAAGTAGATCTGACCAGAGTAGAGAAAGCGTGCCATACAGAGCTCACCATGGGCAATTGTGCCGGCGCAGTTTATTCGAGCTGACGTTGAAAGCAAAATTCAAATCTGCAAGTTGCAAAGTTATTATTCCTAAAAAGAAAGTTCACCATTGGCGATATGTGCTAAACCTTGACGATATACTTGATTGTGCCCGGTTACGAAGAAGGCTTTCTTATCTTGGAAGAGTAAGATTGATGACAACTTACGTGTAATGCAAGAGTTGACTTTCTAATGGACACCTGAACTTCGTTAGTTCTGATAAATGTGCCATGGTTGTGTGACCATTTCCCGATGGACCTGTTACACAGAATTGGTTGGCAGCTGAACCATTCCCGCGGCTAGCAGCATGTTTTATGAAGTTGGTTCTTGTTTGCAATTTGATGATCACGTTCATTTTTATAGGGATCGTACTAACTGAAATGTGAGCTCCAGTGCTTGCAAAAGTCATTCACAATACAATGCAAAACAATACGAAGAAAGAAATTGTCAAGGACAGAAGGCTGCCGTTGTGGAACTGTCAGTGGAATACCGGTTACAAGACTCCTTTTAGAGAAATTGCGCTGTTCTTTTGTTACTGGGCTCTTTTCGTCAGTGGCCTAGCAAACAATCAGCTATGCCTTAGCTGTAGCTCGTCCATCAATGTGGACATTCGTAATTCAGTGATCAATATAATTAAACAAAACATAACGGAGGAAGCAATATGTAATTTATTCAAATGTTAAAACGGATGCCCGTTAGCGGAAGATGTAACAGTAGAACAGACCTAAATAACAGCGCATATATTTTCACCTACTCGCGATGTTTAAGCATACAGCGAAAATGTAATGATACGAAGGAAATGTACAACAGTTCATTGCACTGCATTTATCCGAAGGGGGTAGATAATACCTTTTTTCAGAGTGAAACGACGTAGTACAGTTGGTATATGTTGTACTTATTTTTAAGCCTCGCTTTCGGCGAAGCTATCGAGAGAAAAAATTTGATGTCATTTTTTTCGTCCCTGAGCACAAACCTTGGTTTCCAGCTTGTCTAATAGTAGTGCAATCTGCGGACACGCAAAGTACGTGTCTCAGCCACAAACACCCTTCGCGGCGATATAGTGGCACTCAATAAATGACTGATATGATTTTTCCCCGACGAATCTTGTTATTTTTGAATCGTTACTGTCGAATTCTGTCGATTAGACGTGGTCTAGGTCTCTCAGTTTAGATGCTTTTCAACTTTTGTAGAAAAGAATGCGTCCAGTGGCATTGTACACGTCGCCTTTCAAAGACGANNNNGGGGGGGGGGGGGGGGGGGAGGGAGGGAGGGGTGATTGGCGAATTTTGCCAACTAATCTTGAGGGTCAAAGTCAGTGTGGACTCAACGTTTTGCCTTTTTGTGTTCAGATTTTCCTATTCGATTGAGCGCTTATTCAGAACTAACACATGTATTGGTAGATTCTGTAGGATATCTTGAGCAAAACATAACGATATCGTCTGCATACCATACATAAAAAATTGATCATCAAGCAGTAGTTCCTTGTCGTTTTTCCAGCTCACTCCTTGGTATTTCCTTCACTACAAAAGGGAACAGGAATGATGAAGCCAGACCGCATTTTCAAACTTTGTTCATAATGACCAATAAAGAGGAGAAATGGTCACACGTTGACGCGTTCTGCTGTTCCCGAGCATATGGCTTTGTGATGGATGTCGCATTTCTCAGGCATGACCTCTTGTTGACAACACCCGAATCAATAATTACAGCGCATCCAAAGCCTCAGCACGGTCGGGGGTGAGTTTATTGAGTTGCGGCTGCTCACCTCTCCCTTGCACCTCGTGAAATTCTTCCATACGATCGAGCGTCTCAAATACCTACTGAGGAGGCCCTACTCACCAATTCCTCGTGGCAGAGATGTTTACCCACCAAAATGAGGATGAAAGGCTAACAGACGGGTCGGCGAACTGCTGGCAGTCCGCCTAAGGGATTCGGCTAAAGACCCTGATTCCAAATCAATCAAGAGGAACTTGCACAACTTCGTGGTAGTGGTCACCGACTGGATTGGGTATCGAGGTGTTGAGCACCTTGGAAGTTTGACCCCATCCGAAGGACGTATGATCCGATGAACTGGACACCCGTCCCCAATAGATTGCGGTTTTCACACACCGTCCCGCTGCCCTGCGGGTCAGGCTTTGGTTAACCGAAGAATTCCCGAAGAAAATGCACCTGCTTTGACCTGTGCAACCTAGCAGTATCGCGCTCTCGAGCAAACCATGAAGCATTTTTTTTATAAAGATGAATTTACCGTGATTTGTTTGACACAGCCTGCACTCGGATATGAGTGGAAATGAAAAAATGTGCATTTCTTCATGCCTTGTTTTGACAACATCTGCCGGGAAGGGAAAAGTTCCATGACTTGCTCACTGGAGGAATACCGCCAGGTTGCCCAAATCAAAGTATTTCATTGAGATTGTTTTTGTAGAATGTCTATTTAGGATCAACTTATATCGATATCGAACACTTACTGAAACCTCATTACTCCGCTCTTATTCATTTTCCACGGCACGTGGGCACCGAGGCCTCAGGTATGAGAAAGAGTCAAAAATTCAATTCCTGATAATTTGTTAGCAGTAACGAAGTTCAGTAGGATAATGTGATTCCGACGAGAAAAGCTGGCATCACGTTGTAACTTGAAAACATACTTAGAGGTGGTAACAATCACTCATTTCGTTCTATTTGTTTATACCATCATTTATTTCAAATAACAATCAGAAAAACGGTTCGCCCTTTATTTGATCGTAATAAATGGTCCTGCCACAATGGTTAGAATTACCATGGGATTAGCTTTATTATCGTCGTTTTTATCGTCCATTCTCGGAATGCTCATTTGTATACATGGTACCGTTACATCAGTGAAGAACAGGTTGGAGTCCACGCCGGAGGGAGTTGAGTTGATTAATTATTTACTCTACGTCAGATCCTGTAACTCCGCGAAACGTTCCACAGCCCAACAATTATCGTTGTTAATAGAGCTGACTATTTTTAGCTGATTTTTACGCACGTTCGGATGCAGAATTTGTGCCAAACAAATCACGGTAAATTCATCTTTATAAAAAAATGCCTCATGGTTTGCTCGAGAGCGCGATACTGCTAGGTTGCACAGGTCAAAGCAGGTGCATTTTCTTCGGGAATTCTTCGGTTAACTAAAGCCTGACCCGCAAGGCAACGGGACGGTGTGTGAAAACCGCAATCTATTGGGGACGGGTGTCCAGTTCATCGGATCATACGTCCTTCGGATGGGGTCAAACTTCCAAGGTGCTCAACACCTCGATACCCAATCGAGTCGGTGACCACTACCACGAAGTTGTGCAAGTTCCTCTTGATCGGTTTGGAATCAGGTTCCAATCGGCGAACTGCCAGCGGTTCACCAGCCCGGTCGTAGCCCCATCTGTTAGCCTTTTGTCCTCACTTTGGTGGGAAGGCACCTTCGCCACGAGGAATTGGTGAGTAGGGCTTCCTCAGTAGGTATTTGAGACGCTTGGTCGTATGGGAGAATTTCGCTAGATGCAATGGAGGGTTGACCAGTCGCAACCCAATACACCCACCCCACACCAGACTGAGGTTCTCGGAGGTGATAAAATTCACACAGCGGTTAGGTAGTGTATTTGTCTCGCATCTTCTAGGTTGGGGTCTAAAAGACTAAGTGATTAGTTGGAGACAGGGATGTAGCATCGAAACGGACAGCAGTGGTGTCGCCCATCACGCCAGAATGTCTGCATAGGTTGTGCATGCATAGTTAGACTGTGAGCTCTATGTTGACCACATATTCACTTTTCCCCTCCCTCAAAACAGTTCCCGTCCATCCCCACCTAATGCATTCTCACTTGCTTTGCATGCATCACAAGCTTGACAGCGATCGTTGAAGTTCACTTCACCGTGTCCCGCAGTATGATGATCTGTTTCACTCCGTTGAATGTTCCAAGAAGTTGCAGTTTTTCAAGAGAAACCGTTCTTGGGTTTGTAAGAAATAATAGAGATAAATTGAATTGCTGACCTTGTGATTCTAGTTCCCAGATCAAGTTAATCCATCAGTTTGGAATGACTGATTGTCCTGAAATTAATCTTTAGTTTGGAAATGTAGTATTACATATTAATAATAAATCTCTTTTCTTTCTCATCGATCACCCACGGTCATTCGACCACAGAATTATGCCGAATGACTCCTCTGTCTCAACTTATCGACTCTGGTTGTTTGGAGACAACCGAAAATAAAGACGTAATTCAGGCCGAGCGGACTCTCGCGCTATCCATTTGCCAGTTTTTGGTGAATAAAGCGGATTCCGTCGCCTGTTCTCTCACTGGCCAGCTCAGTGCGCGATTAATCGTCAATTTAACCACAGACTTCTTAAATGGTTCGGCAACATCAGAGCGAAATCGGGATCTAAATATGCTGTCACCACAGAGCGACTTAATTGCTTTTGCTGTACTCAAATGGGCACACCGGCGTCTTCTTGCCGGTGAACGTTTAGCTCGCGTAGGCAGTGAAGAAAATGTTCAGCCAGACGATGAAGAAAGTGACGGAGGTGCCGGATCTGGTGGTCTGGGAACGGGAAGCTCGCATGGATCTGTCTCGTTCGGCATGAGGACCCGCTCACTAATACCTGCTTTTG